AGGAACAGTCAGTGGTTCGTGTGCAGAAAACATCAGAGCGAAGTCGCCTTCTCCGTAAATTGGGTCGCTGCACTGAAACATTAAGCATTACCACAGAAATGCTGCATATACTCTAGTTCGCTGCGGACGGTTGGGCGTGTCAGGCAGTATGAGTGTGTCACCCGTCAAAGCCGTTCTCTGCCTTCTTGTTGAAGCGCGCATGCGACAAAAAGTGGTAAAACGAGTAATACGAACGATGTGATACAGTCTTATCACTTGCTCGCTTCAACAACTGGTGGAGAACGGGTTTGGCACCGCGCCAAACTCATCCCGCCTAACACGCCCAATCGTCCGCCCGAACTACATTATACATTCCATGGGTAATTATTGCACCAAAACCGTATAAATCAGAATCAATTGAGAAAAAAAAGAGAAGGTATTTGATCGGCAAGAAAAAAACTATCCTCAACCTCTACTTTTCATCACATTTTGAGACTTAAAACTATTAGGAGCATATTTGTAGTAGTCAAATGATAAAGACAATTTCACCGATTCAGCACCACGAGTAGTAGGTGTTTCCAGTATGAACCAGTAGCGATGAGTGACTGCCCACTAAAGGAAGCAATGAAAACCTTGAGAACACCCAAAACAAAACTCCTAAATGACACTCGCCCTGCCTCGTGGAGCTATTCGAACTTGCTGGCAATTCGACACCCTGCGGGCTCTGCGCGACCGACCCCTTGCTCACAAATCTTTCCTTATTACCTTTCGGTACCGAATGCTATCAAACACTTAAAAAACACTAGAAGAGGACAAAACTTCCCAAAAACTCTGAGCGCGTAACAAGGACTACGGTAAGCAATGCGAGAAGAGCATTTCCACCAATGCGACTGCGTAACTTTTGCATTCAAGTGGCGCCCAAACGTATCACGCCTACGAAGTCGACTGCTATCGACTTATTATGAAAAAGGATTCAGAAAGAAAACAACTACTGAGCTTGAACTCGCAAAAAGTCGACAGGCTGAGATTCTCTCCGACCAACATATGTATGAAATCATCCTACGACGCTGCAGGCAGCAGAAAGCATTCACGCGTTTCACCGTGTACGTCGCTGTCTTGCAGACTGAAAAGGACAAAGGCCACAACCCGCGGCCCCTTTATATCGCCGTTCCAAGGGAGGATAGTGGTACTTCCAGCAAGAGCGGACCTGGATAAATGTATGGAAGCATTTCGCGGGTCACTTGATCGCGGGAACTGTTTTTGAGAAACAAATCTCAAATGTTAAGCTACGTTTATAGCTCCTAGGACTACTAGTTGGTCGATAAATCGCCGTTGATAGAAAGTTACGGTTTGACCACCTCATCGGTACAAAAAAGAAAAAAAAATATCAAAGAGATCACCTCTCTTTTAAATTCTGTTAACGTGATGCAGTCCTCTAT